GTTTCATCGGCATCGTAATTTCAGAATATCATTGATTTGCGGTGCAGACACAGCAACTGATGTTGTATGTACAAACCAGTCCCGATGGTGTCCAACCGCTGTTTTTAGTTCCTCTTTGTCTTTTCCTCTCCAGAAACCTGAGCAAAGTGTATAGATGCCCTGTGTATCCCAGACAGCAAGGCTCTCTTCTTGGCCGTCCCGGGTATGACGATAAACTGCAAGGTTTCTAATCATGTTTGAGGAGCGTGGACCACCTATTAATTGCTGGTGTTCTCAGGTCCACCCTGACCCGGGGTGCTAGCATCTGTTAGGGGCAAATAGCTATGGGCAAATAGTTAACCCCCAAACTTGGGTCAAAACACTATGAAAGTGTAAAAATAGATATACCAGCAATACATTTTTGTAAAAACAAATCATTACCAGCAATGAATTTTTGAAGAAAAAATTATTACAAAATTATTTAATATTATTATTATTATTAAAAGATTATTAGCAGCAATAAATTTAAAAAAAATATTATCAGCAATAAAAAATCTTGTCGGCATTAAATAACCCATTGAGGTTGATATGCTGTAAAACAAACCAAACCAAAATCTGTTTTTGACCTCTCTGATAAGGGGTGATGCGTTCGACGAAATTGTCTGACAGCCATGACTGTGTTCTCCTGCTTGTGTGGCATAAATCAGTCCTGTTGCCAGACATAGGGTCTTCCAGCAACCACCCTATTCTAATAGTTGCTCAAGGCTCGGGGCTTTCCTAAGGAAACATCCATCTATCGTGACTGGGGATATTTCAGGGTCGGCGATGACGGGATATAAACTAGTTTAGTTTTCGAGGCATTGAATGTAACCAGCTTGTTTTTTCCCCGACTGAGATGATGCGAAATACTGGGGCGGTGCAGATAACCTAACTTCATGGGATAGTTGGCGTTTACTAAGGACCTTGAGAATGGCATGAAGCTCAGACGTCAAACTTGTAACCAAATACTTTTTTTTAAAAAATCACTTATGAATGAATGCGTACAAACATCACATTACGGCCTCATGCATCACAAAGAATTTGCAGCAATAGACTTTAATCGTTACTACTTTAGCGTTCGGTCTACCCCAGTTTCCGTAATCTACGCTGTGTTAAAATGACATTTAGCGTGATATTTTAGACATCTATCTATCATGTCATTTACAGTGTAGTGTGTACTTTGCCTGCACTTTTACAATTCACTGTTGAGCCTACAGCCACTGCATTAACTTTTAACAGCATTGTAGCGGGTAAAATGTGTTATTTTATATTGACTGGTCATGAGTACTCGGGTTAAAAGATAAAAATAGAGGAAGCACATGAAAGTTAAACGACACGCTAAAGGTAATTTAATATTGACCGATCAGGAGCACTTGGGTCAAATGGAAAAAAAAAAAGTTAAACACTTGTACTAAATTCATACCATGAATTTAAATGGGTAAAATAGAAAAAAAGGTTAAACACATGTACTAAATTCATACCGCTAAATATCATTTCACAGCGTAGACCACAGAAACTGCGGCAGTAGCTTTTAATCTTTAAATTATTAGCCATTTGTTTTATTCATATATAAAATAAATATTTATTGGTATCTGAAGGTTTATCTGAGGAATGATTTCAACAACAATCTACGCAGTTAGGTCGAAATCATTTTTTCTTTTTTTTTCTTCGGACAAACGGCAGCCATTTGCATGAAATATCCTGAATTTAAAAATTTCAAACTAATAACTACATTGGGGGGGTGAAAATTTAAAATGTGTTCAGGACATTATCTTCTATGTAACATGTCCCTTCAGGACGCTGCCGGCTTTCTACAATTATCTTGTCTCTTGTAGCTCTTAATAGATTTTCTTTTTGTTATCTCTCCTAAACCTTATTCCGCCATCCATTTACTCAAGATATCTAGGCAGGTTATGCGTTGTTCCCCACTTGCCTTCAATCTGTCCTGTGAGTATAACATTTTCCAAGCCCTCTTTTCTCATCTTGTGTCCTAGAAATTACACCTGTCTCTTCCTGATGTTAATTATAAGTGTCCTTTTTGTTTCCATTTTTTTCTAAAACTTCATCGTTTCTCACATGTTCGCTCCATGTATTCTCAATATCCTTCTGTAGAAGCACATTTCTGTTGCTTCAAGTTTCTTTTCTAATTGAGCATTCACTACCATACAGAAGGACTGATATTACATAAGTCTTTTTTTTTTTGTTTCTAACGAAATTTTCTTGTTTCTTAATACTTTGCTTAGCTTTTGGAAGGCATCTTTCGCTATCTCAATGTACCTTCGGATGTCAATGTCGCACTTTCTGCCCGCTGATTTCATTCTGTGGTCAGCTTTTGGAAGGCATCTTTCGCTATCTCAATGTACCTTCGGATGTCAATGTCGCACTTTCTGCCCGCTGATTTCATTCTGTGGTCAGCTTTTGGAAGGTATCTTTCGCCATCCCAATGTACCTTCGGATTTCAGTGTCACACTTTCTGCCCTCTGTTAAAACACTTCCCAAATATTTAAATTATTTTACTTGTTTGATTTTGGTATCTCCAATTATTAATTTGTATGTTGGACTCTTCCTTTTTGCTAGCAACCATACATTCTGTCTGCTTGTAAAACATTTTAAGCATTCGAAATAGAAAACCAACGTTGGAAATTGTAAAAAAAAAAATAAAAAAAAATAATTATCAGTTTCCAATGAAGGGTGTTGTTTGCTGAAGTTACTGTACGACTCCAGTGTGGATTTGAAGTGAGATTTATAGACTTCGTCTCAACGATCTGTTTGGTATTTGCGCGTATGTGAATATAACCCAACTGGAATTAGAAGTCGGCTCGCGGATTCAGAAATCTGAGGAATTATCCATTACCCCCACTTGCACATCCAAGATTATAGCACCTGGAATTCTCAAGTCGTCACATTTTTCAGAATCGTACAATATTAATTTCTATCATTTTGGAAGGGGTTCTTCTGTTTTATATAAATACAGTATTAAATGGATCCTTGACTTTTTTTTAAAGAGTTATCTGTACTTTATTTTTAATTAAAATGGCAATTTTGAAATACTGCTTGCGTCATTGATAACTGTTATTTTTGTTCTTTCATCCCAATTGTTAATAGGTGTCGTGATATTTAACGGTGACTTTATAAGGGCCGGACCCCATTGCGAGTTTCAGATACTGTTATAATGACAGCTCAAATATACTTTTAAGGTACAGCTGGAGTCATGTTTTAAGATTCCAAATACTTTTGGAAAGATAATTTTTTTGCATCGCATTCAGCTAAGAAAACCAATGAACATCCAAATAAAAATGGATTTCAAAGGCACTTGTTCGTTTTAGTAGACAGCTTGCTCGTCAGACAGACAACTTGCCAAGAATTCTAAAAATTTATATTGCTAGTAAGTCTGTATATTTTGTTGTTTTCCTAATACCCTTGAAAAAGGTATGAATCCTACTGCGGGAAAAAAATCTGCCTCGTCAATCATGTCTCGAAAGATCGCCTAAACATGTATCACACATGGCACATAACTGACTGAAATTCACTTACGTGCTAATACCCTTGGGAAAGGTAAGAATCCTCCTCTTCTCTCCCCCTCCCAGCTATGGGTAAATAGCAGGACAGACCGGGTTCTCTAGCCTTGGATGGCAACTGGTCTATAGCAGAAAGAAATGGCAGCATACTGGCGAGAAAAAAATCTGCCTCGTCAGTCATGTATCGAAATATATAGGATCACCTAAGCATGTATCACATGTGGCACATAATTGACTGATATTTTGTAGTCTGGTTCATTTGAAGAAATACGACATCTCTCAAAATCAATGGATAAACAATTTCTAAAACTAGTTTCAGAACAAGGAACATACCTTTCACATGTCTTTTATAAATTTGTCGTCATTAAAATGTTTTCTGTTCTCTATTCCGTCAACTTTGCACAAATTCTATTAATTTTTTTTAATTAAATTTCGTTTCCTTGCTTATCTAATTTATTCTTCAAAAAATACAATTAGATTTTATTCATTTATATATTCACCGTCACTTGCAATGATTTGTTGCCAATTATCAGAGAGTTCTTCGATGCCTTTTGAGTAGAATCAATTTATAGTGGAATTGGTTAGATGTAACCGTAAGTTCTATGCTAACAGTTTCTTCTCTCGCTTGTGGAACTCTTCTGGCCCCTTGCTTTCCAGTAAATTTTGATTGTGAAAGATTTAAATGCAAAGTCAATCGGTATCTACGGTCTTCCTTATTCTTTTGTTCTCGCTCCTCAATAATGCTTGTTTTCTAATTCTCTCACACCCTATAAATCCTTGTGTCTTAGTGGCTTTACTACCTTACAGAAAAAAAAGAAAAAAGACATTACGACATTGCGAAATCGTTGTCTTTTTTGTAGATTCCCTGTCAATACGTGGTATTGTGGTATATATCAGATTGAATGGTATGGTTGAAATCCTGTAGTGAATGTGCAAATTGTATTGGATGGAGTCATGAATCAGATTAGCTAGGTTTAGAAGAGTTAGTGTAAAGCACCATCACCCAACTTTCCCCTTAGCCTCGTGCCAAAATTGTAATTTAAATTACAATAATGATTCCTTTTTGATTAGAACCAGTATCATGTACATCTAATAAGATTTTAACTGGATTGCAAGTTATTGAAGAGTGATATTATTTAGGGGTGTATGTTTATGCAACACGTAGTTCGCTAGGGATTAAGTCCTATGGAAGGGGAACGAGGCACGACTTCTCCGAAAAGAATCTTGTGATTAAAAAGAGAAAGAAAAGGGCCTGCTTGTGCCTTTTCTTTTTCTACAGCTCTGTACAACGCCATCTAGCGAGTGTCACCATCCTCCCGGCAGACAAGGTCGGATAATCCTACAAAAATGCTCGGAGATCTAAGTATTTACTAAAGATTCCCAAAAAGCAGTCTTTTTACTTGCGTTAATCCCTTTATTAGTTTAAGTATAACTCTGAAAAGCGTTAAAACGATTTAACAATAATCATTGAACAGTTTCCTTAGAGAAGAAGAAAGAAAGAAAAAAGACAGAAAGAAAAAAGAGATAAAGACAGAAAAGAAAGAAAAAGAAAGACAGACAGAAAGAAAGAAAAAGACAGACAGACAGAAAGAAAAAAAGAGACAGACAGAAAGAAAGAAAGAAAAAGACAGACAGACAGACAGAAAAAAGAGACAGACAGACAGACAGACAGAAAAGAAAGAAAAGAGACAGAAAGAAAGAAAAGAGACAGACAGACAGAAAGAAAGAAAAGAGACAGACAGACAGAAAGAAAGAAAAGAGACAGACAGACAGAAAGAAAGAAAAGAGACAGACAGACAGAAAGAAAGAAAAGAGACAGACAGACAGAAAGAAAGAAAAGAGACAGACAGACAGAAAAGAGACAGACAGAAAAACAGATGACAGAAGAAACAGACAGACAGACAGAAAAAAAAGAGACAGACAGACAGAAAGAAAAGAAAAGACAGACAGACAGAAAGAAAGAAAAAAGACAGACAGACAACAGACAGACAGAAAGAAAGAAAAAGACAGACAGACAGAAAAGAAAAAAGACAGACAGAAAGAAAAAGAAAAGACAGAAAGAAAGAAAGGAGACAGACAGACAGACAGACAAAAGAAAAGAGACAGACAGACAGAAAGAAAGAAAAGAGACAGACAGACAGAAAGAAAGAAAAGAGACAGACAGACAGAAAGAAAGAAAAGAGACAGACAGAAAGAAAAAGAAGACAGACAGAGACAGACAGACAGACAGAAAAGAAAGAAAGAAGACAGAAAACAAAAAAAAGACAGACAAAAAGAAAAGAAAAGAGACAGACAGACAGAAAAAAAAAAAAAGACAGACAAAGAAAAGACAGACAGACAGACAGACAGAAAAGAGACAGACAGACAGACAGAAAAGAGACAGACAGACAGACAGAAAAGAGACAGACAGACAGACAGAAAAGAGACAGACAGACAGACAGAAAAGAGACAGACAGACAGACAGAAAAGAGACAGAAAGACAGACAGACAGAAAAGAAAAGAGACAGAAAAGAAAGAAGACAGACAGAAAGAAAAAAAAGAGAACAGACAGAAAGAAAAGAAAGAACAGAAAAGAAAAGAGACAGACAGAAAGAAAGAAAAGAGAGACAGACAGAAAGAAAAAAGAAAGAAAACAGAGACAGACAGAAAGAAAGAAAAGAGACAGACAGACAGAAAGAAAAAGAAAAAGAGACAGAGACAGACAGACAGACAGACAGAAAGAAAAGAAAGAACAGACAGACAGAAAGAAAGAAAAGAGACAGACAGACAGAAAGAAAGAAAAAGACAGACAGACAGAAAAAAAAAAAGAGACAGACAGACAGAAGAAAGAAAAAGACAGACAGACAGAAAGAAAGAAAAAGACAGACAGAAAAGAAAGACAGACAGACAGAAAGAAAGAAAAGAGACAGACAGACAGACAGAAAGAAAAGAGACAGACAGACAGACAGACAGAAAGAAAGAAAAGAGACAGACAGACAGACAGAAAGAAAGAAAAGAGACAGACAGACAGAAAGAAAGACAGAAAGACAGACAAAAGAAAAGAAAATCACGGACAGACAGTTTTGTTTGAGACAGAAAAGTCCTTTTTGAAAGAAAAGAGACAGAAAGAAAGAAAAGAAAAGACAGAAAGAAAAAAAAACAGACAGAAAGAAAGAAAAGAACTTTTAGACAGAAAGAAAAAGAGACAGACAGACAAAAGAAAAGAGACAGAAAGAAAGAAAGAGACAGACAGAAAGAAAGAAAAGAAAAGAGAAGAAAAAGAACAGACAGACAGAAAAGAAAGAAAAAGAGAAAGAAAAAGTTAAGAGACACTTTGAAAGAAAAAAGACAGACAGAAAGAAAGAAAGAAAAGAGACAGACAGACAGACAGAAAGAAAGAAAAAGACAAGACAGATCAGTGACAGTGAAAAAAAAAGAGACAGACAAGAGAAATTCTCATTGTTTTGTTTGGTCCCATGATCTTCACAAACAAAACTTGTTCTCAAATATGAGGATTGAACGCCGCCTCTTTACTTTTCATTTTTCAGACGGCGATTCTCTATAAGCTTCAGTTCTCAAAAATGTCCCTTCACTCTTTTTTTTTTTTCAGGGCGCGCGAACATGGCTCTCCACAACTTCTCTTCCATAAAGTAGAACTTCTTGTGAAGAAACTGGGGAGATCCCTTCTTATCAATGAAATTCAGTGGAAGTTAAGGTGATTTAACCCTTTCGACGTAGCTGTAAATGTCTGTATTAACGCTTCTTACAAAACAATAAAAACAAAATACATGGGAAAGTCTACCACTCGTTTCCGAAGCACATAATAATGCCGTTTACCAATTCTGCTTGTGTGGTTCTAGACAAAACAAGTACTGGGTGCGATTGGTAAATTGTCGCCGTATTCCCAGCAAATACCTCTCACATCATAGTAAGATGTTAGTAGCAACGGTGTTTTCGTCTAGATAATGTCTTACCATTATTTGGGAAGCATTTCTGGGAGGTATATGTTGGGGTACCGTACCCTGTATATAATATACAGGGTGCAATGGATAAATTGTCGCCATTTTATATATTTTAATTTGGAGCATGCGCGTTGTTTGTTTTTTGATTTTGTCGCCTGCCCAATATAGTAGGATCAGTTGGGCACCATGACGCCATTCACTCTACCAGAAATTTGGAAACAGCATGCTGTACTGCTTGGCATTCGTGCCCGAAGATCCAGTACGAATATTTCAGTGTGTTTGGGTGTCAATCTCAGGACAGTGCAGAATATTCGGAAAGATTTGGATGAGTCTAATGGTGATTACGAAGGTGTTTGGTGTGATCACTAGTGATGGCGACGTTATGCCTCCATTCATCTTTCCACAGGGCCTCAGACGAACTGAAGGCAATGATTATGGCAGCATTCACCAACTTAAACAAGGTGACCGTCTAGAATAGATGCAGGAGATTCTGAAGTCGTCTGGAGGCCGTGATTGGAGCCAATGGCGATTTTATTGAATAAATTTACTCTTTAGCATTTTAAGATATGTTTGTGTAATTTTGGTAAATATATCTGTTAAAATGAGATGTCAGTGTTATTTTCATTTTTGTGTCATTTAGATGATAATTTATCCATCGCACCCTGTAGCGCAGACTAGTCACGTCTGGGATACAAAATGAACGTTTTCGATTTTGAAGGGCGCGCATGCGTACGATTAATTTGACAAAATAATATTTGCAAAACTTGATCGTTATTTACATTGTTTACCTCATTGAAAATTTTTCGTAAAAAAATAAAATAAAGATGGCTTTGAAATAAAATATGTATATAAAAAAAATGTGAAAGTAGAAAAATTATTCCAAAAATCTTTGGAGTGTCCCCCTTCTTGACTGGTGTCGAAAGCTTGGAAAGAGTCTGCTGCATGGTTAGAAAGTTACAAGATGAAAGAAACGCCACGTCGAGAAATAAGACTGCGAACCCTGTTTCCCATATTATATACAGAGGTTTTATTCAGGGTTCCCCGGCTCGTCCAGGAGTTGGGAGTAGGTATATGATACTAGGAACTTCTGCTGTATCAGCTATTTCCCCTTTACCAACTCCTCACCCGACGTGGCGAATGGCAATACGAAAATGGAGCCTTCGATTTGTCAGGAAGAAGACTTTCTGATGTAATCGGATTGGAAGGGTTCGATCCCAGCGTGCGGCATCTTTAGAAAGTGACTGAAAACCATACCACGGGTTGACCCAAGCCTTGTGAGCGAAATTGGGTAGATGGGACCCTTGGCTGCCGTCTATAGCTGTGTTAGAACGAAGTTTTAAGTCATCGTAGCCGAGGGCTTGAGCGTGCTGGCCTTGTTCAAGTTGTTGATCACGCTAGATAACACGCTCTTTCCCAGAAACTGTAACTAAGGTCTGCTCAGCATAGTTACAGTATAAACCACGGATGGGTTCTGTGGGTGTTGAATAAACCCAAATGCGCCTGAACAAGCGTCTGCAATAGGGATTGGCTAACCGCCCTAGTAGACAGGTATGCTCGAATATGAGTGGCCATCTATACATAAACATATTTTTTGTCAGCAATTATAACGACGAATATCAAGCAACGAGATAGACTTTTATTTCATCTCTACTAAAACTGAGAATAAATATCCATATCGAAGCAATTTCATATTATTTCACTGTCAACGCTTGAAGTTGCCAAAAGGGGAAGAAATTGTGTTTAAAATGAAATTCTGTTTATTCTGTTGAGAATAAACGATTTTGTGTTATTCGAGAACACAAATTAAGAGACAATAGTGTTCAGAAACTTGCATCTTGCAGATAATTAGTTGAAAACCATCACAATTTCGTCCCTTAAATGCTAATAACTCGAATTATCTTATTATTATATAAAAACCATTGTCACTTGTTTTAATTACGGTAAAGCAGACACTTAATCATTGAAATATCTTGATTATCAGCGAATAGGGCTCCAGAACACAAATAATTTCGATACTAACGGTACCAGCTGTTACAAAACCGTTCAGTTTCACTCCAGTATTTTACTTGGACTCTTTTTTTTTTTTTATTTTTTTTTTCAATGACCGTTTAAAATTATTGAATGATAATCTGTCACATAGAAATTTCTATCGATCAAAAATAGAAAACCGAATTAATTTTACTTTGAGGGTCAATAGTTGAAAACCTGTCCATACTGTTCCTACCTGATTGGAAATTTTAAGGATTTCGTAACCCTAATTAATATTGTACCTACTTGCATTATTTACATTATTCGGATTGTTATGCTCGTCTTCATTGCCATGTTCACAACGTTTTGGCCATTGTACGCTCCGTTTTCGTTTTATGGACCCGTTCGCTGGTCCATAAAACGAAAACACTTGAGATTGAGATAAACCATCTCTCCCCTTTCTATGTCGGTATCTACAAGGCCCAAGAGCCACTCGAGGTAGATGGTTATAGAGTAAAAGGCAGAGTTTATGGCGATATTTGGGAAAGATAACGGTTAACCCAAAACTTGAATTGGTTAGGATTATAGTGATCGGGGAAGCATCCTCATGGGAGTTGGTTCCACAAAGCAGCTGTTTGTGGGAAGAAGCTGCTCGAGTGGAACTTACATCCCATCAATGGAATATGAAGGGAATGAAGGAGGGTTCGCTACAATGTTCGTGACATGGCGAGTTTAAGGCGTGAAGGTTGGAACTGGGGGGTTAATTTCATTCGAAGTCGGTCACATGAAGCAATTTGGGAAAATCTGAGTAACTCAGAATTCTATTAAACTGTTTGTTTCCAGAGACGTACTTAATTTCCAGATGAATTGCATGTATTTGATTGCATCGCCATATCAACAAAACTCTGCCCCTTTGGGCCACCTCTCTAAATCATTTGCATTATTTACACTGTTATCTTCATTGCCATATTCACAACATTTTGGCCGTTATACGCTCTGGTCTTCTTCAGGTAATTGGAATTTCGAAACGAACCCTTATTTCGTCCACCGGAGTAGATTGTTCTAGTTCTACGTGCCACGCATCTTCCGGATGTCTCAGTTATTTTCCTTTAACGCTATTCTCCAAGATTTGGTTCACCACTGCTGTGGCCTGGTATTGAACTCACAACTCTTTGGGTCTAGTCACTGGATCTAACCAACGGTGGACGAAATAAAGGGTTCAGTTCGAAATTCCAATCATCTGAAGAAGACCGGAGCGTACAAAAGACCGAAACATTGTTTGTATGGCAATGAAGATGAGGATAAGTCCGAATAATGCAAGTAATCATAATACTTCATCTCAGAGATATCGAGAGATAATATTGTAGTGCTTATTTTACGGGAATATTTACAATAGCAGTTCGATGGTTGCCTATTTACCTCCTAGCTTAGAGGGTCGCTGAGTACCTGACCACCTCTCTCGATATGGCCTGGCTGCGTGCCAATGTGTGAGGCTTCTTTTGCTTAAGGTGGTACCTTGTAGAATGGCAATGCAACGATTGTCGGTTCTTACGACGTGACCATGCCTTTTTAAACTTTTCCTCTCGACTGTGGTTAACGATTCTTCCAATGAGCCTGTTACTTGTTTGATGGTGTCATGCACTGTCATTTGTGATGCAGTCTACATAGATGGTTTCAAATGCTTGGATTCTTTGCTGTAATTCCGCTGTTAATGTTCAAGATTCGCAGGCGCCCAGAGAGATTGAGAAGATACGATGCACGCAACAGGCAGAGGTTCTTGTCACGTAAGTGAAATTATTGACAAGATTTGAAAAAAGCCAGTCATCATGTCGACAGTACTGCACTTTTTGCAAATATTAAATCTATTACTTAAACAAAAAAATAGCTTATCTTTGGATTCTTTGAAACCCCAGTCGATCTTTGAAATCTGATGTCTTTAACGTTTCATCTTAGGCGGACCCTCATAGAAAATTGCTTCGCAGAACATCAGCGGGTGATTGATATAGCTTTTCGCATCTAAGCAATTTATATAATAAATGCGAATATCAATGTGTCAATGGGTCAAACTTTTCAACTTTACTCCTAGAGGCCGTGCCCCAACATATCATAGCATTTTGGAATCCGGCCGACCCCTTGACCAAATTAAAAATATCCGGATCCACAATCCTGACATTATTGGATTCCCAAGTTTTCATTACTGCGATTGTTCTCGGCGATTCTTGTATGGGATTTTTACGACGAATTTTTTTGTATAACAATTTTTATAACTTTGGAATAAATTTGGGAATAATCGAAATTGAGAAATCCAGCGAAAGTCACCTATAAAATAATTGTTTGTACGGAAAGTAAGGACCTACGTATATCAATTTGTCTTTAAATTAAGTGGCGACAGAAGAATTATTGTTGAACTTTTCAAAGGTAAGCTTAAATATTAATGCAATACTTAAATGCAGCGATCAATTTTGAGTTCTTTTCTAGTTTATTGTTGCCTATCACATACGGCAGGAGTATATCTCA